AGTTTTTATATTGTTGTGTACATTGATGACGTCCTTGTGCCATTTGTACTATTGTCCTGTGTATATGCGGGAACCAGATGTTTTGGCAAAGGTCCAGCATGGCCGCAGATTCGGGATGGGTGAGATGCAAACTGTCCAGTACTGTTTGTCTGAGTTGGATGAGCAGAACTATACGTTCGTTGATGAGTAGGCAATCGTCTTTCACGTGCAATCGGTTTCTGATGTTAAACCAGTACTGGCCAAAAGACAATTTTAGCGCTTCCCAGTCCCACTTTCTCACGAAAATTGATGAGTGGCCTTAAGTTTCTGTGTTTTGGGTTGCCGCAGCGATGAAGTTCACCCCCAAGACTTTCTGGAGATTTTTTCTGTACAGCGGTGTATCTACTTCCTCTGTGTTGGTCTCTCTGTCGATTGTGGCGACAATTTCATCCACAATGATTTCGTGGCTGGCCTCCAATGGAGTTGTTGACATAGTGGGTGGTTCTGTGGTTGGTCGTGTTTCCTCCTGTATTGTGATGTTAAGGTCCACGCGGCTGACACACTATTCGTACGTTTCTTTTGTTTCTATGGAAAGGTCCGTTTGGATGATGCCGTTGACTGGTTCTTTTTTTGTTTGAATGGATGTCGTCATTGTTATTTTCATAATTGGAGGCGTTTTCTTACTGGGTCCTTCCGTTGAGTCGCTGAACACTACTTTCGGGAACATTGCTGGTTTTCTTTTTATATTTTCTCTTGCGCCGGTTTTTGTTTTGTGTCTGATTATTTTTTGTTTGGTGGTCGTTTGTGCCAACTGGGGTCAGACAGACTTTCTCCCAGTCTGATTCTCCTTGCCATAATTCCTTGTTTGTGTTTTCTCGTATTGAATTCTGTTCTCCCGTTTGCTGTTTTGGTATAAAAACTCCCTTAAATTCTTTCATATTTTGTTTTTTCATTTTGTCTGGCGGTCTCTCGTTGTCTCGTTGCTGTTTTTTTTGGCGATTTGAACTTTCTATTCTGTGTATCTGACTGATTTTTAAATTGAATTAAGAGCGAATGATTCAAATTAGGAATTTAGGACTTAAATCAGGTTTGAGTAATTGACCGCTTATGCAATGAATGAAATGATTAGAATGCAATTGAGCGTTTGATTGACCTATTATTCTCCTCTTAGTCTCCGCCCGTTTTTTGATCAGCCGATAGGACGCTAGTTTCCTATTGGCTAATTCGTTTAAAATTAAATTGTCAATCATTTCAAGATTGTTAACGAGTAAGTTGATTGACTTCACAAAAAATTCCTCATCATCTTCACTAGGGGATATTGCGATTCCAACTGGATTTTGATATATATAGTCAATAAATCTCATCTTACTTCCCGCCAAATGTTTGATATCAAAATTGAAAGGGATTAATCGTTCGATCCATCTCGTGAGCCTACTTTGGCTTGTATTAGATCGTTTGCTGGCGTTTAATGCACTGATCACAGCTTGATGATCAGTGATGACTATGAAATTTTTCCCGTATAAGTAGTACTTGAAGTGTTCTATCGCCCTACGACCCCCAAGAGTTCTAGCTCATTTACTGAATATTTCTCTTCTAATGAACTTAGAAATCTTGACACGAATGGAATAGCTATCCACCGCTCTTCTGTGCTTTGTTCTAGGGCCGCGCCGAGTCTATATGTAGATGCATCACACACCACACGTGTATCAAGGTTTTGATCAAAATGTTTTTTTGAGTAACTTTTGCGACCAACTTTTTAATCCTTTGGAAGGCGTATTCATGTTCAGCCAACCAACTAAGTGTTTTGTGCTTGTCTGAATTTTTTAGGAGAGGACGTAGTATATCTTGTAAGATGATGTATTGATCCAATGAAACTTTTAAGTTGTTTGAATGTTTTAGGTGGGGAGAGTTTTTCGATAGCGAGTGTTTTTCTTGATAGAGGAGTAGTTCCTTCGCTATCAATGTAAAACTCAAGCCATTCATTTGTTTCATGCAACGTTACATTTATCCAATGATATTACGGGATTTTCTTCGTCCAGTTTGTGAAGAAATTCTTCCAGTGTATCTTTATGTTTCTCGACTGATCCTTTTGTAATAATCAAGATGTCAACTAGTTACTCATATGTATTTTATTTTTCCAATTAGTTAATGTCTTAATTGCTTAATGTCTTAATTAACTTAATTAATTGCTTTTTGGAAATCTGCCGGCATATCTGTTAGGCCGTAGAATCCAGTTTGGAACTGGTATGTTCCCGTGGCGTTTCCTCCAATGATACTAAAATTGCACTGTTCTCTAGTTTTCTTATCCAAAGTGATATGTGAATATGCGTATCGTAAGTCAAGGGATGAGAACACTGTTTGTTCTTTTTTGTCGTATTTTTTTGTTTGTGCGATGTTATCTAGTAAAATTTGATGTTCGGCATCTAATACTTGTTTTTGTGAATGAATATAATAATGTTCTTCGAATCTAACGCGAGTTTGACTGTCTAATCTTTTTTTACTGCTATTACAATCGGGCTGATGAATTGTTTGCCGGATCACTTTTCCATTTTTATAAAATGTTTTTGGTCGATTAGTTTGTTGAGTTCGTTTCCCCACCCTTTCCCGTAGGTGGATCGGAATATTTCGACTTTTGTTGAATGTGTGTAACAACGTCCGGAATAAACTGTGTTTTCATAACATGGTTTTTTGCCTTTCCGATTCTAATACATAAATTTGTGAAGTTTTTTTTTACCTCCGGGTGTGATTTGTCTTCTTCTATTATATTTAAGACCTGTTTATTTTGTGACTTTTTTGAACTAATTTTATTCCGATGTTTGGTAGTAGATTACGATCGAGAATGTTTGCTTTTTGTTCGTCAATCAAAACAAATGGGGCTGATTCAATAGTCCACCCACCGGATTCTATTGCTAGAATTATTTTTCCTTTCGGAATGACAACTTTTCCATTATAGCATGCTAGATTTTGTGCTGTATCTTCCGGCGGGATTGTTTTATTTAAATATTGGATTTATCATTTTGTTGTATTCGACGTCCAGTTTGTTCATTTAGGAATGACATTAGACACCCTGAATCCGCGATAGCAAGTATTTCAGCAGATTTTGTTATGAGTTTCACAATGTGTCCATTTAAATTTTCGTCACTGATTTTTACAGTTTGTTTGATTTCGAATGCGTCTGCTATTGCCAACATGGAGTAGTTATCTCTCTGTAGTTCCTCCCATCAGTTGTGTGACGTGAATTCAGTAAAATCAACTGGATCGTTATCTTCGTTTTCGTGAGGTTGGCTTTCAATTTCATTTCTTGATTCGTCTTCATTGTTAATTTAAAGAAAGTTTACATTATCTGAACGACAGATTCTCGCAAAGTGTCCCCGTTTCGCACATTTCGAGCAAATTTTATCTCGGGCTAGGCACGTTTATAGATGGTTAGGGCTGAGAGGTTTTCCACACTTATAGCACTGTTTTTGGGAAGTGTAGTTCTGCGGACCTCTGTTTTGACTTCCTCTTGTGTTTTGGTTTCGTCTTAACACATAAACACCCCTGTCTCTTGCTTTTCGCCATCTATTTACCCAATCTACGTTCTTCTCTTGGTTTCTAACCTCTCTGTTTCTCCGTTGTGCATCGGTTTCTCCATGTATTTCGACTTCTAAGATTTGTTCAGTTGGCAGAGTAATATTAGGTTTTTCACGAAGCAGATTTTGAATCTCTATTCCGTCTTTTGCGAATACTGCAAGTTCGACAATTGCGGCCAATTTACTCCATTCTAAAGGGAGCTCCGCTGATGTTTTTTCCCAAAGTGAATTAATGGTGAGCGGGTTTTTTGTAGATCTTGCTGGCTGCGCCATGTCATACCGTTAGGTATGCTTACTATTAATATTGAATCCGAAGGGATTGGCGAGCTAAACGTGAGTAAGGCTGAGAGCATAAATAAGACAACTGGTTCGTAAACTCTTTATTCAGGTTCTAATTCTTCGTTAGTTTTATCTTCAAGGTCAATTGACCAGCTCAACACAGTGAGCTTAAAAATATATATGTATTTATATAGTACATTGCCAATCCGGCCGGATGACTCCCACCTTAAACACCTCTTTCCCCACCTGAACCGACCCACGCCCCCGATCTGAACTACCACCCCTCCCCCACCTGAACAACCACCCACCACCCGAACTAGCCCCATCCCACCTTAACCAACTTCCACCCCACCAGAACCCCCTCCCCACCTGAACCACCTGCCCCTGACTTGAGCCATCCCCCTCCACTTGAACCAACTCTTTCACCCGAACCAACCCCCCCCCCCCCCCCCCCAGTCAGAATTAACCCGGGTAGACGAGGGGTTGGTTCAGGTGGGGAGACAAAACCGAGAAATTGAGTAACGTAGGGACAAGCTTGCGCAGTTTAAGAATAAGAAATTTTTTTAGTTTATTCTTTAGTTCAAGAATTAGAAAATTTTTATGCATTGAAATTTATATCTCAATTAAGTGGAAAAATCAAATATAATGCGGGTTGCCCTTGAATGACGTAAGAAAAATTCCGTCAAAAACTGCTAGTTCAAAGGTAGAAATTCGTCTGAAGAAAAACAACCACCATGAGAGCAAATTTTCCGTCCAAATACTTGAAAGTAGGAACGACAATGCGACAATATTTTTCTACTTTTTAAAAAAGTGAAAAAACTCAAAAAGTTTTTTCAAAATTGATGTTTTGAATAGCAGTTTCAAAGACATCGCAGGGCAGTCGTTGTCTGAGTTTTGCCCTGATTCGAGTAGTCTAGTTCCTTTTATGTTCAACCAAAGCTACGTTTGATATCTTATTTGATATTTTATAATAAATTGATCAAGTGGGCCAATATTTCACGATAATATTTCATTAATAATCAGTTTATAATGTTTTTCAATCATGAGCTTACAATTTGATGGGCTTGGCTTGTTGACAAGAGTACTATTCGAACTCTTAGTTAAGAGTTTGTCAAAATATTAGACCTAGGTGATATCATTGTTCCGGCTCAATCTTCGAGTCCAAAACGAGTGATATCAAGGATTACTTTCGAAGCAGAGATGTTCAGAAACTCATGCGTTGACTGTGCCAAATTTCTAATCACCAAATACAATTTGATCAGAGCTCATCTCAAACTCCAGCGAGCTCGTTTGTTTTCCAGAAACCAATATGGTCCAATGATTATAATAAATACCAAAAATGTTGAAACAAACAGAATTGATTAAAAAGAGCAAATGACATTTTTCTGAAATTTTGCATGCAAACGCCAAAATTCAGACAAAACTTGTCTTAAAGGTCCATGATTCAAAATAAAAGATATCATGCAAACTTGGTCAAAATTGATTTAGTTTGTTCCAACATTTTGGCAACTAATAAATTGCAAACATTTTGAACAGACAAAATTATATTATTATTAAGAGCAAATGTATATTTCAGACGTTTTTTGCATACAAAAAAGATACTTTTCAAGCAGAAAGTATGTCTCAAGGTCACCTAAATTTTAAAGCTGCATGCCAAATTTGCAACAAATTGTGGCAGATTGTTCTTTTTAATTATTCTTGTTTGTTCCAAATTTGTGCAACTTATTAAATTTTGCATGCAAGTTTGAACTTTTAGGTCACATGCATAAATGTTCTAAAATTTTTGAAAATTTTCTTTCATTTGCTCATTTTACTTAATACTACTGTCTAATTCAACTTTTTGCAACTCTATAAATTAACTGTTTTTTGTAATTCATTATCCTATGTTTTTATTTTGAGTAAATCGGACAAAATTATTTTATTTTAGGCGTAAACTAAATTTTTTTGCAGTAATATCTGAGATTTCAAACAAGATTTTTAACGAACTGAAGTTTTGCTTTCGACTGGGTTGTGTCAATACTGATGCTATTATAATTATAGTGTTCTAAGAGATCAATTCTTCAATTAGACTTTTAAAATTTTTATTTACCTTCAAAGGATTCAATTAACAAAACTTTCAAAAAAAGAAAAATAATCCTAAGTTTTGAAGTTCAATTAGTTACTTAGTTTTATCCGTTTCTTCTTCAGTTCTATTATTTACACTGAGCTGAATAATTTATTCGTTTTTACTCTTTTTAATCATAATATTTTCAATCATTACATTGCCCCGCTGAGTTTATCATTGGCCATGAGTGGGGGGAACCCTGAACGCGGAAGGGGAGGGGGAGGGGGAGTCGGGGGAAGAGAGAGAACGTGGCAAGACTGGCTCACAGTGCTCCTCCTTTTCCTCACATTCGGCCCATGCAACGGAATTCTGTGAGTATCTTCAACTTCAATATCCGATTCAAAGTGCGAACTAAATTTTTCGTCTTAAGAAAAGTTGACCACTTTTTTCTCATTTCGAATTTTTTAACTTGATTCCTCCGGGTGGCTTAATGCCCGCAACCAGGTTGATACGTGTTGCGATCCTACTAGTCACGGGACACGTGCTGCTCATGTAACACTTGTCGCACCATTTGAAGATTTTTTTTGAAATCGAGCAAAAATCTGCAGCAGGGAGAAATAAGTGCCAAATATCCCAATCGAAATCAAATCTTTGAAGCTGAACAATAATTTAAAACAATTGGAAAGTTTAGATAAAAGTTTTCATTTTACTTCAGAACAGTTTTCATTGTTCACCATCCTCGCCATCAATAAATGGTGAAAATCCAAAGAAAGCTTTATTCTAATGTTGAAACCATAGACGAGTCAGCTAACTTTTAAAAATAGCTGATTTGCAATGAGATTGTTAGGGTTTCAGTTTTTCCTCTTTAGTTTGTGTTCGGATCGTAATTAAAAAGCAATACCCCTAGCTTGATTTTAGGATCTTACTAATTGCGCTATGAGGAATAATAAACAGTCGACAAATAAACAGTCGCAAAGTTATCCAGGAAACAACTGACTGCTTGACTAATGTTGGTCGAAATATCAGTTGCTGCTTAACTGTTTATTTTTCTAGGCATTATTTCTTCATTTAAAACTGTTATTGCACTACAGAAAACCTTGAACGAGTCAGCTAGTTTTTAAAATCGAATCTAAATGAAAGATGACTATGGTATGACTTTGAAGAAGAGAAAATGTCCGCTTTATAAACAATAAAAATGACAAGGATCAACAAAATATGCAGGTTCAATCAATTATAGTGCTGGAGAAATTAAATCTAAACAAAAATTCCAAATTGAACCTAAATTTTTTTTGATAGAAATGCACGAACAAATTCCTATTGATAGATCCTTTAATTCTCTTCGAAATTATTTTTATAGCTAATAAAAAAGTATTGTCTCTTTCATATTTATACAAGGTGTATTTTTTACATGCCGCTATAGTTGTTGATTTTAAATTTATTATGATAATTTCATTTTGTAGCAGCATGTATATTTAACCAAGTGATTATTTTGAATATACATGTTTGTCAAAAAAGCGGTACTAATCATTTGAGTTAGAAGAAAAACATACGCGGGTGTTGAATCATTTCGACCTTGGTTCATCTGGAACGTTCTTTTTGTCGTCCGAGATTCCGCTTCTTCTTCGTTGTTATCTGATAACGTGTCTCTTTTCCCGTAAACTTCAAGGTTGATTTGAAGTCGGGGGAGGTTTAAAGCAGATCAGCTGATCTCGTTGCCTGTCCTTTCAAAGTGAAATGCAATTATTTTATTGGAAACGTTTGAGGATAATACTTAAATAACTTTGGTAAATTATTTTTTCTTCTTAGTCTAATATCGTTAAGAGTCTGTTGAAGTCCTTGCGATTAGTTGATTAGTCGTGCTTGCGCTTTAATGCAACCTGTTAAGCATGCCCAGACTTCGCATCCATCGTTTTCTTTCTTGCTCGTTAGTTTTCTTTCCGCTTCATCGTTCGCTCAGTTTTCTTTTTTTTTCGGCATCTGTGCTCCGAGCTTCGCATTATTGCAAGTAGTACACATAAGAGAGACGTAGTTTTTTGTTTTCTCTTATTGCGAGCCCGAACCAATGATTGGTCTGCGGCTGTTTGAGTCTATTCTGAACTTGATGAAATCTGTCATTGTCTTGTTTCAATGCGACATCTTTTTTGCCGCTCAGTGAAATTTCCAACCGTTTGTTTTTTTCCCAAAAAGAACCAAACTTCCTTTGGTTTGCAATTCCTCCATCAGTTTGACTGTTAATCACTGAGTTTTGATGAAACTGCTTCGGTGATTGTCAATTCCAGCTGGGCACTGATGTCACAAACCGATATACTTTTTCATATTTTGACTGAAAATTCGAATTAACTTGCTGATTTACTTGAAAGTAGAACTAGTTTTTTTTTTAATTCACCCTTAGCAAAAAGTATGGAAGCAACCTTTTTTGCCCCACGTTAGCCTTGAAAAAAACTTGAGCAAATGTAATTTGAAAATTCTTATGAGTTCATGGCTTAGCATTTTGGCACAAGGATCCATTTTCTTACCTGGAGGGCACCTGTATTTAAATCAGACAGATCGAAGTTCAAAAGAACTGCTGGCTACAAAGTGGGATTACAAGGGGCTGTACAAAATAGTTTATAGAAATTTTACGTTAATCAAAATTGTTTCAACTTGCGAAGACAACAGAATGTTCAAGCTTGGTGTTGTTTTTTATTCAGTCAGTTTTCAGCGATCGAGTTAATAGTTTTTACAAATTTTTGTTATGACTCATTAAAAGCATCGACTTCCTGAAATCAAGTTTAAGAAGATATTTTACCTCTGATCAAGTATTGGGAGTTTGAAAATTGCCAATTTGGCCATGCTCTGGATCTGGACTAAATTCTTAGCACTTTGAAGATTTTGTCCATAATCCTTAAAGCAATAATCCTAATTTTATCCATAATCCTATGAAAAAATTATGCTTCGCGAAATATACCGCACAGAAAAATGGTTCCAGATTGAACTGAGGCTGGCTAATCGGTCGTATCAGTTTCGTAGAATTCAAATTTTCACACCTGATTTATGATAGTGTCCAAAAATTTTCCTTTTAAAAATTTTTCTTTCCACAAAAACACTATACAATACATAATGAGGGGCAGTCGGAACATTCAGTGCGTTGCCTGATATACGAGCAGTCTCTTTCTCTACTTATTTTTAAATTTCGCACGTCAGAAAATCGAGAAAATGATAAAAGGAGGTCTGAATAAACCATAAATAAACCATTTCAAGTCAGATCATCAAGGAAAATATACACGCTATCCAATTGGCCATTGGGACTTCCAGAACAAACCTTATACAAAGTTTTAAAAGCTTGAGCTAGTTCGTTTTTTTTTTAAAAAAACGACCCACTGTTCAACTATTTATTTTACGAAAATTGATTCAAATTGATTCAATTTTATGAAAATTAATTCAAAATCGTTTTCGTTGAAAATCTTCAGCAATGCAATCATTTTATCATTTTGTCGATAGCGCATTTTCAATTCAATTCAAAAATTACGATTTGTGAATTTTTGAGCGTCAGTCACACTTGGATATTCTTTTCGTGCTGGCCAGTTAAGCTTTGTGCTCCGTAGTTGCCCTTTTTTTTGCTAAAATCCGGCCTTCTGATAACTTTGCGAAAGACCTAAATGTGCAAAAGACCTGATTGTTCCAAAAATCAGTTGAAATAATTTGTGCGAGTTTGCAAAGATGAGGTTTCAAAAACCGGAAAAGAACACGATTCCTTTTTTTTTCAGCAGTTTTTTGTTGAGACTTTAAGATATGTTGTTTTTGCTTATGTAGTCCAATTTTGACTTTCTAGCAAACCATTTTGACAAAATTGTTGCATGCAGTTCCAAAAAAAGAAAAGATTGAGTTAATGCTATTAAAAATTTCCTCGGCTTGTTTAAAAATAACCAACGTTGTGTGATACAAAACAACTGGAGCGACATTTTTGTTCTTTTTTAAGCCAGGATGTTTTTTTTTCTGTTTGAAAAAAAAAGAAATATTTCAGCTTGGGATGGTTTTTTTAAATTCAGATTCTTTTTTAAAAGGTAAATTGTTACTGGAGATCTATTATGGAGTCTCCCACGCGGTTGTGCTACTCACTATTCTAAAAGTTTTGTTAAGCCTACGTAAATTTTCTTGTTCAAAGCCTCCAAGATTTCATCTACGATGCTGATAACGTAACCCGAACTACTAAAGTTCCGAATTAAAAGAAGGATAGCCGGTTACTGACCGTGTGGCACAGAATGTTCCGACCATTAAAAACACAACAAAGTCGTCGTTTTTTTTGTCAAATTAGTGTCGTTTTTTTTTTCGGCGTGGTTTGAAAAAGGGAGCTGAACAGAAAACACGGTATTATGTATATTTGACAGTCATGGTGAAATAAGCAAGATGAAAACACTTGTTGTAGAAAATTTACTAGAAAAACCAAAAAAAAACTTGCAAAAATTTAGCAGTTTGGTTGCAGTTTTTCGAATTTTTGAAATTGTTGATTCGAAATTAATTTTATTAAAGCTTTTGTAAGCTTGTAAGCAATTAAACTAACACTACTCGCTCGCTTTTTGTTCGAAATAAGACAAAAAATCAAAAAATTCAAACCGGTTTTTCTCGACCGGGATTTTTTTTTGTAACTTTAAAATGTGTTTCGAATCACGACAGTAAGGGCTTTAATTTGATATATCACTCAAATCAGTCCGATGATTATTTGTGCAACCTGATCTTGCGTGGAAAGCAAATTAAAAGAAAAAGAAAAAAACCCAAATTTAAAATTCCTCCCTATTTTCAATGGTCGAAACAACAAGATTGCGTGTATGGAATCAATAAGACCAATTAACTTGCTTCAATTGCAATTTGTTTGAAGCTGCGTGTTGCCACGCCTAAATAATGCGCGTTTCATTTTCACCAACAAACATAAAAACGAGCAGTTTAGCTTGACCTCTGCCAGATTTTTGAAGTAATTTGCGAACTCAGCACGGCCCTCGCAGATCTAGGTTCGATCCCTTGAGAGAAAAATTCGTTTAAAAATTGGTTTGAATACCCCCTCCCCGAGTTTATAGAGTCATCACTTTCTTCGAAAATCAGAACAAAAAGGCAAATAATTGGTCATTTTTTCCTGATACGTCTCAGTTTTTAATTTTTTGTACCTGATATTTGCAGTATATTTCAATGTTCATTAGAATTATTTCATTAGGTTCATTAAGTGCATTTTCGGTAATCAACAAAAGGGCAGTTGGAACATTCAAGGCTTTGCCCTGACAATTGCTTCTCTATCGTTGATGTGACAATTACAGTGACTCATAATTCAACCTAAATTGAATCGAGAGAAGCTGATTATGATTGTAAACATATATTAGATGCGAGTGTTTTTTTTTTCAACGAACTTTGCTTGTGGGGGAAGAATTCTTGATTTAGAAACCAGTTAAAATTTTTGATTTCATGCGATTTCAAAATTTCCCTGCAGCAACTATATAGTCTCGTAAATTCGGTTTAAGTTTTACTTTTAAAAGGTTTTCAGTTTTGTGATAAAATCGTTTTTATTTTAATTTCATTAGGCCCAAAAGCTTGCAAACCTCACCATGAAAATATCTTCTGGTATCTATTTGCTGTTAATTTTCACAATACAATCTCAAGTTTTCATGCACCTATTATTGTATATTAAGCGAGCGTTATTTTGAAACAACCTGCACAAGGAGCAGGGGCGGATATAAGATTTTCTCACTGGGGGATGTATTGCGGGTTTTTAAAAGCGGGTCTCAAACAACTATCAAGCTCCTTGTTTCTTAGCAATCTATTTTTCTGCGCCGCACGCAAACTTTGAGAACACAGACCAAAAGGCATTTCTAGACATTTTTAAAATTGATTTTTGTTGCGCGCTCATCCCTAAAGTTTAGTATATTCAGATGGTACCATCAGAAAAATTTTGGAGCCCGGTCAACTAAAAAATGTAAAACAAAAAAAAACAGAGCAAAACTTGTGGATTTGTGATATCTTGAAAAGTTGATACTATTGAAATAGAAACTTGAAATTCGAATACTAATTGAAAGTAAAAAAATTGCCGCAAATTTCTATAAAAAACGTGTGTATAATGTTTCTGTATATTTTTATGCATAAAAGTTCTATGGAAAATTCTTTCAAGAATAATGTTTTTTATTCTGTTTCAGCTACACGATGGGCGTGTACCAAGCGTACTGGGTGACTAATTTGGGCATGGCCCCCACCCGGGCTAGTCTGATCAGCAGCACCCTGTTCCTCATGACCTGTCTGCCCTCCCCCTTCATCTCCCTCTTAATCCACAAGACTCGCTTCAGACCAAATCTCATGGTCGCGGCCGCCATCCCCATTCTCACAAGTCAGCTTACTTCTCAGAACTTTTTAAACCCCCCCCCCCTGATCCCTGATGTTATGCTGTGAGACTGTTTCATACAATCATCCGCTGTATATGAGCAATCCAACGGTTAAGATAATAAAAATCTACAACGATTCAATTTACAAAAAAATCTACAAAAACGTGTTGAATTTGAGATGGAACCATTTGAAATATTTTACTTTTCAGTTGGTGTACTGATGAACGCGTACTGTCACAACTTCTGGCTCCTCCTCCTAGCCAGTGGAGTCTTCCTAGGACCTGCTCAGAGTCTGATGGATGTCACCTCAATGACAGCTGTCTATCACTACTTTCTAGATGAACACGTCTATCTGTTCACATCCATTGTGTCATCGGGGGTCGGTGGGGGCATGATTGTGTTTTCAGTTATTTTCTTCGTGCTAGAACCCAAACTTGGTTAGTAGAAAAGCAAAAGAGGCTTTTACTATTAGCTTTTTTCCAAAACCCTTTTAATATATTTATTATTAGTCCACTATTTTTTTTCCATAAAATTTTCTAGCGTTGAAAAAGTCAGAGAAGCTTTCATTGTGCTGAGTGGGGCGAGGCAATAAGGGGTTTGGTTATAGTCCCCAACAATCTCGTTCATTTTTGGCCGACTGTTTCAAATAGAATCCTCCAGATTTCTCCCTCAGAACTATTTTTAGGGGAGCGGTGGTGAAGTGGTGAAGTGGTGACGTCTCCGCCTCTCAATTGAAGGGTCGAATGTACGAGCCCCAGCATGATCCATGCTCATTGCTTGAGCTCTAATCAACGAAAACCAGCGCGGAAAAATAACCCAAAAAATTGCATGTAGTTCTTAAGCAGAGGCGCAACAGAACTTCTAAGTGAAGAATATGATGGTCCTTTCCCTTGTGTATACACATTTTTTGTCAGGCTTCTAATTGTTCCGTCCTTTTAAAAAATGGGGAGGAACTTTGTATTCGGGTGTATTTTAGTTTTTTTTCCACGCAAAATCAGCTACCAGAAATTATCATCGCAGTTGTGATTCAAACCACATTTAAAACTTTCCTAAAAACTTTCTCAGTGTTTAAAAAACTTTTTGGTTTTTTGGTCTAATTTTTGGTTTTTTGGTCTAATTTTGAGTGAGCGAGCAGGCTTACAATAGTTTATTTTAATAGCTTAAAAGCTTACAATTGTTTAATTTTTGCTGTTAAAAAATTGGTTTTACTCGGCTAAAGATAAATTTTGAGTGTTGTAGCGCCTTTTTGGATACAAAAACGTCAAAGTTTCAAAAAAAAGCTTTAAAATTTTTAAAGAATGTTTAATTTTTTTTTTGGTTTTCTAGTCATTTTTCTACAAAATTCGTTTTCCAATTTGCTCATTTCACTATAACTGTCGAATATGCTTATGCTCTATTTTTTGTTCGGATCTTTTTATGACACCACGCAAAAAAAATTACTATGATTTGAAAAAAAAAACTTTTTATTGTATTTTTCAAGACTGCGGTCGGAACATTCTATGCTCTTCGCACACAACCGGCTATCCTTGTTTATAGAGTGAACTTTGTTCGGATGATTCAATTTTGTAGCTGGGATTGCTTTTGAAGGCAGTTTTTCTCCCAACCTACCTGGTTAATCTGTTTTGTAGACGAAGAATGTTGGTTGAAAATTACGAGTTATTCTCAAAATTGTTTTCTGAAAAACCCGTAATTTTCTTCCTAAATAATTTAGGTGGGTGAGTTTTTGTTAAACTGCTCCGAATCCATTAATTAAGCTGCCAATGAAAGGGAAAAATGGACTTTAAATCCTGATAATTTATCATGAATAAATTTTTTGTTGAAAGCATTAAATTGGAGGAGTAACTTTGTATTCGGGCGTGTTTTTGTTTTTTTCTTTTTTTATTTTTTGTTTTCCACGCAAAATCAGATACCACAAACTATCATTGGAATGAGCTGATTATATTTAAGCGCTTACAGTTTTGATTTGAACCACGTAAATTTTTTCCTCGTGTCGAGAAAAACCGGTTTGAAATTTTTGAATACTCTGAGCGAATTAAGCATGCAATTGCTTGAATGCTTAAATTTGCTTAGTTTTTAACGTAAAAATTTATTTTTACTTGAGTAACGTTAGTTTACTTGGAGTGCTTCAGCGCCTTATTGAAAACAAAATTTGTTAAAATTCAAAAAACTTTTTTTTTTCGTTTTCCTGGTAATTTTTCTACAAAAATTGTTTTTCAGTTCGCTTATTTTAATATGATTATCGAATATACATAATCTCCAGTTTTTTTGTTCAATTTTCTTTAACACACCACACCGAAGAAAAACGACAATAATTTGAAAAAACTTGGTTTTTTTTCAAGACTTTGGTCGGGACGTTACTTGCACAGTAACCTGCTATATTGGTTATATTTCGAAATTGGTAATATTCCTAATTATTTCGGAAGCGCACCAGAAAATAATTGCTTCGGAAGGCTGACTTAAATAATCCATACCCCAAACACCGTCCAACAAATCGTGCAAACACCACTTTGCCATCGTTATTTTATTACGAGGGTTGTTTTCAAAATTTTTCAAAAAATCGAATTCATCTTTAATATAAAAACTTCTGAAATTATTTTAGGCCTGCAGGGAATTGGCTACGTTCAACTAACAGTGGCATGGGTAATATTCATCATCGCCATCTCAATCTTCACTTTCGGACACAAATTGGGCATGAAAACGAAACACGAGAAGAACCGAATTCCCAACGACAGATGCGAAGTATGCGCTACGAACGGTCTGCTAATTAAACGCACAAAGTGTCCATGCGCCTTACATGCGCAGCTATTAATACACGGAGAAGCTCATTCTGGGTTTGCAAATGATTCGTTCTCGAAGCCGAAAAGGCGTAGAAACGACAGTGAGTCGTCTCTCGTGATGATGTCGCGGAATACTGTGTTGTCGGATAGATCGCACGTAGCAGCCGACGTTCTCGTAAAGTCGATTTTCACAAATAGCCGTTTTATGATGATCGTGGTGTCGTATGCTTTTTGCACTTCGGTTTTCAACACGGTAATGTATCACCAGCCGACCAGGTTGTTGGCGTTCGGATTTTCCCTCAATAACGGGGCCCAGTCTATCGCAATCAATGGGTTTGTGCAGATGGTGTTCCGAGTGACGGCTGGTCTGTTGGCAACATCTAATAGAGTATCTCCCTTTAGGTTAGAACACTTATCCAGATCTGTTTTCACGAATTAAAAATTGTTTATCCAGATACTTAAGGAAACGCAAAAGAAAAACAATTTGAATGATTCAAATGCAAAACGCAACAAAAGATAGCGGGCCACAAAGTTCTGACTATAAAAAAAAACATTTTTTCCTTTTAAAGTTCTGACTACAAAAAAAAAACATTTTTTCCTTTGCTATGTTTTTGTTTGCTGGACTATGAGCAGAGCTGACCGAAAGCCTCAAAAAGATAGATAAAAAAACATATAAATTTTTTTTTTTTAGTTTTTGCTGATTTTTGTAGTGTTTTTTTTTTGTTTTCAAGAAGGCGGTTCACAACGGTTCACAACTTCGAAACGGTTCACAACTTTTTCGAAATTTATTAATTGTCGTTCGAATCACAAACAAAAGGGCTTCAATATGATTTACAACTCGACCCATTCCGATGATTAATTGCGCCGGTACCTGATTTTGCGGGAAAAACAAAAAAAAGAAAAAACTAAAACACCCGTATACAAAGTTCCTCAGTAGTCGGAACAAAAGCTGACGCGATTAGAAATTGGTTAATCGTTTGTACTTAGTATAAGAAACCATTGAATTTATCTAGAGAAAATGATTGCGATAAAAGATGATAAGGTTTAATTTGCAGACTGAGCGAGCTGTCCAAACTGGCTCTGGGCTTGCTAACTGTAGTGAGTACTTTCGTGCCCTACTTGTGGTGTCAGCTGCTCTACATGTTCCTCATTGGAGTCACAGGGGCATTCATAAACACCACCGACTTCCTACTAGTCAAGGTCAGTCAGTCGTTAATTGGAAGTATAATAGCCTACTGAGTGTAACAAGGAATTCCATATGGTCGTGCATGGCGAGATAATATATTTTGAGCTAATTAATTCATATCCGCAAGCCATATTTCACAAAAAAAATAACATGCAACTTATAATTTCGAAAAAAAATTCATGGAAAAAAAAAAGATTTTTTTTTCGACTTCTTTAAATTATTCAATTAATTAAAGTTTTAAACCATAATAATCAAAGTGGTCGGACAATGCTGTCCTTTCTACACAGCAACCGATGAATATTTAGTTAGCATGCGTGTTTCTTGTCTGCAGGACTGTATGACTGAGGGGAGGGAGTTTGGGATTGCACTTCTGTTCCTGGTGGATGGAATCTCCACTCTCATCGTCGACACTCTTGTGGGCCACTTGTACCAAGAGATCGGATCATACAACCCCATATTTAAGGTAATTTCAGTACAAATGTGTGTTTGATTTAATGAGTTAAGTCTATGATGTAATTCAGGGGCGGATTGGGGGGGGGGAGTAGACATGCCCACTCAGGTATTCGACACCCTGCCGACCCAAAGGGTCCCCCCTTTCTACTATTTGAGTTATCCTATGTTGGTTACCAACCCTTAAAAAGTTTCCAGAGGTGGCTTCGGCCGCAGTATATACTAATTTTGAGAGGGGAGCGCGCGCCGAAAAAACGCAATTTTGTTGGCCTGTTTTTCATAATTCTGAAAATTTGGCCAAAACAAGGGTCTGTTCAGTGCTTTCTGAAAACCAATTTGGTCGGCCTAAAAAAAATTCCAAAATTTCTGAAAATCCGCACCCCTCGATAAAATCCTAGATCCGCCCCTGATGTAGTTAGTGACTTTACAATTCCACTAAGCCCCTCCCCCCGTCACCCCAAGCCTATTGTGTCAAACAATCGTTGTAGCCTTCCACACTGTAATTTTACTTTCAAGATGTGAAAATGTTATTTGCTGACGGGACAAAATGGGAGAGCTCAAAAATGGTACCAAAGTTTGGATCTCTCGGTTTCAAAAATTTTCCAAATCGAATCCAATTTTGCCGCCTTCATTATCAAAACTGGCCGAAGTTGCATAAATGTTTTTGTTTTTCTACAGTAATTTTGTGCCAACTCCCCCATTGTTTCAGGCGATGGGTGCTCTCTCTTGTATCGGAGCTGTGCTAGGCCTCTCGGCAGAGCTGCTTCACAAAAGACAACGTCGCACTGGGATTCCTTACGAGACTCTATAGAACAAGATATAGAGATAGATAGCTTCCAACGAAATAGAGGAATTTCTGGAAGGTGTTACGAGGAGAGAGCGGGGCTGCATATTTTTTAAAATCTATTCAGCCCAGAATCGAAATATTATTAACGAGGCCGCATTTTAATCAATTGCGAGACTCTATTTGAATGGGCAATTTTGTTGATGATGTTTTTTTTTTCATTTCCATTTTCAATTTTCGAGAAATTGTTTATCGGGCCAAATAAAAAAACGACCCGAATTGAAATCAACTTCATCTAATTTGGCCGCTGAAATATCTTAACCAAACTACTTTTCCTAATATTGCTTTCTGTAGAAGTTTTATATATCCTTTTTATGGATAATTAATTTATGCTAGATTGTTAAAAATAAGTATTCTATTTTAATTTACGTTTTTTACTGCAGTGACGACAACGCCCAGGCAAAAATAATTGGAAGACACATCCAAAATTAAGTGGCCTAAATTTAAAAAACTTCAACCGAGATCCGTAAAAAAGGTTAAAAATTTTCTTGTTTCCAGTGATTCCCGGATTGTTCTGCCAGTAATAATCAGTACTGTTTCAGAATTAAACCAGTGTTAACGTCTATGCATTACTTTTTCAGAGCAAAACCAGGGGAAGAAAATCAGTTTTGTTGCAGTACTGAAACAGTACTGTTACGGTAATGTGTATACTGTCTCTGTTTTTGTCCTGCAGCAGTAGTAGATTTTTTTTTCAAAATTCTAAATTGAATTCGAATTTTTGTTACGTGTCGTTATCCGCAGAAAAATCTGTAAAATTGCTTTAAGTTAGCACATTACAAGGCCAAAATGGATATTTTGTAAATTTTAAGCTGATTCCGCAACAAGGACGCTCCCTTTGTTCTTCTTTTGTTCTTTCTTTTTCTTTGATTGCGCCGACAATTTTTTAACATGTTTAAAGAATTGTGTCTGGAATCCAGGAACATAAAAAAAAAAATTGTGAGCCTATTCAGTGCACAGTTTGGCCTCGTAGTACAAAACTCATTTTTTTGTGGAAAAAAATTAAACGCATTTTTCTTTAAAAAAATTGGGTTAGCTTTGGGAGTTAAAAGGCTTGAGCAAGTAAATTTGACTGAAAACAAAATAATCTTTAATAATAAATAGAATTACAATTTTCATAACAGATCAGCTCAAAACTCAGTTTTTCGGTTCATTAACTTTTTTTCATATTGATATCGATTGATCTTACTATTTGTTTCGATGTATATTTGGTAGCCTGAGATGGATTGGTTAAAACAGAAGAAGGGTTTAAAAAATAGAAAAGCTACCTAAATCCATAAAACAATATCTGATCAATCAAAAAAATACCTGATCAATCCATCGGCAGAAATTTCCAATCAAGTAATGGTTCTTAAATTATTCAACCTTTTTGAATGCTTAGGTTTGTTTAGCTTGTATACTTTAACAATGGTTTCTTATCAAAAAATGAAACAAAAGCTTGCTATTGAATAAAAGCGGAAAATTTAAAACGAACTTTTCCATTTTTATTGATACGTTTTAAATACTTCAATGTAACATAATAAAACTACTCTACGCTTAGAATGCAAAAGTTTTCGCAAAACCAGTTTTTTTTCTATTTATGATTGTCCGAACACTAATATTAATAAAAAAAGTTCCTTTTCTCTCCTTGTACAGAAATTCAACTATCAACCTTGAATACGTTCAGAGAAATAGAGTTTATAAAACAACGATTTGCTCAGAAACACCCTGTATCTGGTTAATGAATGTTTAGATAAAATTTTTTAACCAAAAATTGTGGATGGCATCTTTTGTTCTTGTTACATAGCCACAACAAAGTCTTGCAGCTATTTATTTATCATAAAAATTTCTGGTGTTTTCATTAGTAAGGATGCATGTTTCGGATGATTTAATCAGAATTCCCGCAAAATTGGTGCTTCATCATAAAACGATTCTGATTTTGTGTACAATTGACTTCTTTTAGAGTCAAAATGAAATTATTTTTATTTTTAATTGCTTTAATTGCTTTGTTCGGCAAGACGCATAGTTTGAACTTAAACAAACTTTCTGGAAAACTACAAAATCGGTTGAGCAGAACTGGCCATCAAAAGGTGTAGGTGCTTTCCGTTCTTTCCTCCCCCTTCCGATAAGACAAACGTTGTCTATTAGCTTCTCCTCGTGAACATCATTTTCGTCAAACAGTGTACAAACATCGCATTTTCAAAGTTGATCGAGAAGTTGATCCCCCCATCTGGTGTAACGAGGGGTTGAACAAGGTTAAGTTTGAAACCCATATATACTTTTCATGGCCTGATCAGTCCACATGCGCAAATTTTTATAGGAATCGGACAAATTCAATCGGAAATTTTAATCAATTGCGAGACTCTATTTGAATGGGCAATTTTGTAGATGATGTTTTTTTTTCATTTCCATTTTCAATTTTCGAGAAATTGTTTATCGGGCCAAATAAAAAAACGACCCGAATTGAAATCAACTTCATCTAATTTGGCCGCTGAAATATCTTAACCAAACTACTTTTCCTAATATTGCTTTCTGTAGAAGTTTTATATATCCTTTTTATGGATAATTAATTTATGCTAGATTGTTAAAAATAAGTATTCTATTTTAATTTACGTTTTTTACTGCAGTGACGACAACGCCCAGGCAAAAATAATTGGAAGACACATCCAAAATTAAGTGGCCTAAATTTAAAAAACTTCAACCGAGATCCGTAAAAAAGGTTAAAAATTTTCTTGTTTCCAGTGATTCCCGGATTGTTCTGCCAGTAATAATCAGTACTGTTTCAGAATTAAACCAGTGTTAACGTCTATGCATTACTTTTTCAGAGCAAAACCAGGGGAAGAAAATCAGTTTTGTTGCAGTACTGAAACAGTACTGTTACGGTAATGTGTATACTGTCTCTGTTTTTGTCCTGCAGCAGTAGTAGATTTTTTTTTCAAAATTCTAAATTGAATTCGAATTTTGTTACGTGTCGTTATCCGCAGAAAAATCTGTAAAATTGCTTTAAGTTAGCACATTACAAGGCCAAAGTAGATATTTTGTAAATTTTAAGCTGATTCCGCAACAAGGACGCTCCCTTTGTTCTTCTTTTGTTCTTTCTTTTTCTTTGATTGCGCCGACAATTTTTTAACATGTTTAAAGAATTGTGTCTGGAATCCAGGAACATAAAAAAAAAAATTGTGAGCCTATTCAGTGCACAGTTTGGCCTCGTAGTACAAAACTCATTTTTTTGTGAAAAAAAATTAAACGCATTTTTCTTTAAAAAAATTGGGTTAGCTTTGGGAGTTAAAAGGCTTGAGCAAGTAAATTTGACTGAAAACAAAATAATCTTTAATAATAAATAGAATTACAATTTTCAAAACAGATCAGCTCAAAACTCAGTTTTTCGGTTCATTAACTTTTTTTCATATTGATATCGATTGATCTTACTATTTGTTTCGATGTATATTTGGTAGCCTGAGATGGATTGGTTAAAACAGAAGAAGGGTTTAAAAAAATGAAAAGCTACCTAAATCCATAAAACAATATCTGATGAATCAAAAAAATACCTGATCAATCCATCGGCAAAAATTTCCAATCAAGTAATGGTTCTTAAATTATTCAACCTTTTTGAATGCTTAGGTTTGTTTAGCTTGTATACTTTTACAATGGTTTCATATCAAAAAATGAAACAAAAGCTTGCTATTGAATAAAAGCGGAAAATTTAAAACGAACCTTTCCATTTTTATTGATACGTTTTAAATACTTCAATGTAACATATTAAAACTACTCTACGCTTAGAATGCAAAAGTTTTCGCAAAACCAGTTTTTTTCTTTTTATAATTGTCCGAACACTAATATTAATAAAAAAAGTTCCTTTTCTCTCCTTGTACAGAAATTCAACTATCAACCTTGAATACGTTCAGAGAAATAGAGTTTATAAAACAACGACTTGCTCAGAAACACCCTGTATCTGGTTAATGAATGTTTAGATAAAATTTTTTAACCAAAAATTGTGGATGGCATCTTTTGTTCTTGTTACATAGCCACAACAAAATCTTGCAGCTATTTATTTATCATAAAAATTTCTGGCGTTTTCATTAGTAAGGATGCATGTTTCGGATGATTTAATCAGAATTCCCGCAAAATTGGTGCTTCATCATAAAACGATTCTGATTTTGTGTACAATTGACTTCTTTTGGAGTCAAAATGAAATTATTTTTATTTTCAATTGCTTTAATTGCTTTGTTCGGCGAGACGCATAGTTTGAACTTAAACAAACTTTCTGGGAAACTACAAAATCGGTTGAGCAGAACTGGCCATCAAAAGGTGTAGGTGCTTTCCGTTCTTTCCTCCCCCTTCCTATCAGAGAAACGTTGTCTATTAGCTTCTCCTCGTGAACATCATTTTCGCCAAACCCCCCCCCCCCCCACTATGCCCCCGATCTCGCATAATCATCAGTTTCATGGTGTAACGAGGGGTTGAACAAGGTTAAGCTTGAAAACCAAATATACTTCTCATCGCCTAATCAGTCCATATGCGTGAATTTTTGTAGGAATTGGACAAAGTCAACTAAGTTACTTGTTAAAGTTTGCACGCGTGCCGCAGGGGCTTTAGGAGCCTAAAATTGCCGTTTTTAGGTTTTTTTGAAAGGTTTCCAATGCAAAAATTGCGTTTTTGTAAAAGTTTATCCCCACTATGAACTCAGCCCTTAAAAAAGCATGCGTTGGCGCGAAAAATGTTTGGCTAAAACAGTTATCGCAAATGAGCTGCTCTTTGGCTTGTCAGTGTTTACAATCCATGCAGGATAAATTTGCAATTAAAATTGTCTTCATTTATTTGAAGGGGCTTCATAATAACTCAATGAACCACAAAAGAGGCGAACTCAATCTGGCTCGAGCTTCGAACAATTTGTTCAGTCTTCTGAAGCAAATGGAGACTAACTTGCATACTTTGAAGGGAGACCTTGACTTGCTCAGTGGGAATGGGAATTAAAAGTTTATAATTTTGTAATTTTAGATGAAACCAATGATAGATATTAACCAAGCAGAGCATTATGTTTTCAACTATGCAAGGGATGAAATTGGATCAGTTGTACAATTTTGAGTACCATTTATTCATTATGACGCAAACTTCAAGTTGTACATATATCACGTTGTAACATTAAGCACAATGAAACGTAAACTAATTATGGGAAAATGAGCGGTTGCTGTACAAGGAGGAGATAGAAAAAAGTGGAAGGTGAATGAAGTTCGGGAGACATAAGCAAGAAATTTTTTTATTCTACAAAAAAATAAATATATATATATATTTTAATGTTCAGTACGTTCTGTATTTTTTTCTAATTTCTAGCAGATAATTAACCAAAATCT